CGGACAGGGAGATGAAGCTGTCCCTATGCGAAAGGGTAGGTTCTTGACCGGGGCATTCGTTCATTCTAAAGAAATCCGAAACTTATGTGAAGTGACGGAAATTATGCTTCATACGATCTGAGATCTTCTGGCGGCCGTCTGGAGACGCTAATCTTGGAATATTACTTCACATAAGTTTTCAAACATTTTTACATAATTCTTCCGCAAATAATTCTCTATGTATACTGTCCAATTTTGGTGTCATATGATTCTATGTGCGCTGTAAACAAGCAATTTGTTTATTTTAGCCTTGCCTTTCAAATAGCGCGCATATCGCCATACACGATAGAGCATGTCAGTCGTGTGATAACTTATCCGAAAAGCTCGCCTTTGGCCGAACGGCGCTTATCCTTGCTGCTTGGCCCCGACTCCGCAAAAACGATATCCGCTTTGCTTTTTGCTCCAAAAACGATGTCCAGCCTGCTTCCAGACGATCTGTGCCGGACCTTGGTAGAGATTAAGTAAAACTTGACTTTACAGGCTCTGACAAAGGCGAAATCGCCGAAACAGTAGCCAATTAGCGAAGCTCGATCCACTATATCCGCTAACACACCAATGAATCGACCAATAGCAAAGTGATGAAGTGGACGTGGATTAAGTATGCTGTGCCCCTAAGCAAGAGGCCTTAGTAGCTGCACATCGTCATCACTGGGAAGAGATAAGAGGTTCGCAGCGTCTGTGAAAATGTTAAGCATAAAGAAAATTATACTGTTGGGGAATTACGGCTGTTAACATAGCTACTTTTCGCGGCGATTCGCCGGTTCCTCTATGAACTTACTGATTTGTTTACTCACATCCAAAGAAAGCGTATTATGCTCAAGCAAGCTTTCTTCTACAGTCACGAAAACAGGCTCAGTGAAGCTCATTCTATTTTCGAGATCAACAGGATGCGATGATTCAAATCTAGGGTGCAGAACGAGTAAGTGTTTACTGCTCACGATCAGGAGCATGGCCTAGTGAGAAGTGGTAGGATGGCCTTTATCTTTTAGCAACTCTAGGCAGCCGGCTGGAAATCGCTACAAGTACAGACAAGTGAGCATGGACGAGGGACATAATATTTATCCTCAAAATCACTGTTTTTATCGAAGATTCAACTCTTCAGGACTAGTGGTCTTTAGCACTGCCGCCCTCCTTTCAAAATGCAGTGATGCTGGCGCAATAACAGATTTCTATCAGTTTTGGCTACGGCTACCTTCAGAAGCCTTTGCCCTTTTAACAATGCTTTTCCTCACATTCATAGTTGCTAGATAGCAATATAGGAATTTTTGCAACTGATTGTGAGTCTCATAAAATCAATGGTCGTCTGTCAGCGTTTGCCAAGAAAATGCCATTCTCTCTAAATAGTTGAAATATTAGGTTGCTGCAAAAATAATGTCTGTTTTGCAAATTTTCACTTTGGAAGGCTATAACTTCGTTCAGTCTTATTTTTGAATGCAGTCAAGACCATCAAAAACAGCAAACCTTTCGTAATTTAGCGCGCACCTCCTCATACTGATATCGCAAACGGGAAGAAAACCATGCGTCAAAAAATGGAAGTTTTTCCTTTGAAAACCTCTTCTTTGAGAACTTACAACTCCTTTCAAGTTTTGTTCGTATGGTTGCCAATCAGCTCATTTTTAGCCGCAGGCCACGTGTTTACGTATGTGTAGAAAAGACTCCAAAGAAGAGTTGTGCGAAAAGAAAAGTAAAAAACTTGAAAGTGTTCACTTTTTTGAGCCTATTTCTTGTAGGCTTGTGGGCGCCAAATTATGAAAATTTGGAATTCCTCGCGCACTGAATAGCTAAGTTTCTCTTCAGATATTGTAGTTAAGGTGTGCTTATCTCAAGCTTACAGAAATGGGCGAAGCTTTAGCGATTGCCTTAATTATGAGAAATTTCTGACCCATAGAATGCCAGCAGTAAGTATCTATTTCGAGGCGTCAATTTCTTAGTCCAGTTATCTAAAAAAATCTAGATGGCAGTAGATAAACAATCTTCATCTAATACAGTTGCTATGTTTTCAGAAGAATTCGTTTATTTGCTCTGTGGAATTCGTTTATTTGCTCTCTTGAATTGTGGTCAAGAAACTGAAAGCTATGAAATTTCGATTTTGAGTGCGGATGTGCAAAATGCTGGTGAAATTCTCACAGATGAGGATAGCAGCTTATTTCTACCACCATTAAAAAGTACTTGGAGAAAGCTTTCCAATGGTGTGCAGATTCTTTATCGTAATAGAAAGTTTGGCGAAAAAAAGTTGTTTGGAACCTAGGCCTAGAAAAACGGACATTATTTTTGCAACAACCTAATACATTCAGCTTTTATTATTAGGTTGTCAAGAAAATAATGTCCGTTTTTTTTTATTTGCTTGCTTTAACAAAGCAACCAGACTCAACCCAACAAAGGGTAAGGGGTACTGTTCGATAGAGCAAAGCAAGCTCTACAAGATGGCACTCATGCTTTGCGCCATGCTTAATCCACGGAGAGTTCGAACTCAAAATCTAAAGATTTCCAAATGCCCAAAAAATCGAAAAAAATCAGATCTTCGTCCAAATAATTTCTACGGACCTCCCACTCGCTCACATCAATACTATCGATATCTGATATCCATATGTGCGATTTTTGTATTTTTTCCTTGACTAGAAACTGAGAAAACGAAAATTTCCCTGATTTTTTCAAAGCAATGCTGAGCCGTTTTCGCATATGTAGTTCTATACTACAAGCCTAGGTAAGCATAACTGTAGGTTTTCAGCCTATTTCGAGCGGTACTTTTCGAGAAATGTCGATTTTAGCACTGAAACTGAAACGAAAAAATCCGAACTCGTAATTTTTCGAAAACTACCGCTTGGAATGGGCTGAAAATCTACAGTTATACTTACCTAGGCTTGTAGTATAGAACTACACTTGCAGAAACGGCTCAGCATTGTTTGAGAAAATCAGGGAAATTTTCGTTTTCTCAGTTTCTAGTCAAGGAAAAAATACGGCAATCGCACATATGGATATTAGATATCGATATCATTGATGTGAGCGAGTGGGAGGTCCGTAGAAATTATTTGGACGAAGATCTGATTTTTTTCGATTTTTTGGGCATTTGGAATTCTTTAGATTTTGAGTTCAAACTCTCCGTGGATCAAGCATGGCGCAAAGACATGAGTGCCATCTTGTAGAGCTTGCTTTGCTCTATCGAACAGTACCCCTTACCCTTTGTTGGGTTGAGTCTGGTTGCTTTGTTAAAGCAAGCAAATAAAAACGGACATTATTTTCTTGACAACCTAATAAAAGTGTGAAGTATGGTGTCTAGAATAGTTATCATGAGTTTACGACTAATCCTTTATGGGAAAAAAGTCAGAAATGGAAGTAAGTTTGAAGAAAAAATTAAAAATAAAAACTCTTGTTGTCGAAAGAGTTCCGAACTTTGCTGTGTTGCTATTCAGAAGCTCTCTTAAACAGTAGGCTAGCAAATCTCTCTCTTACTGGAAAAAGACAAGTCTTAAATATTTACTGTACAGGGATAAGTAAGATTGCTGGCTGAGTAACACCTTTTCCAGGTTTGAATAACTTTTTGCAAACTTCTAGCGGAGGATTGAAAGATAGTAACAAAGTTCAGTCGTTGGCTTAGCGTTTTGGCAGTGGGCACTTCGGGAGCTGATTATGAGGGAAGGGGGTCTATTACAATTCAACGATAGCAACCGTGCGAAGCGGAGTTATCAGCTGAAGCGTGATAAAGTACAATAGATAGTCGAAATCATCATTATGTGCAATGAGCTACGAGAGCACTAATGAGCAGCCTATTCTGACTAAAGTGACGGGTGCTCTACAGGTCCGGAACTTGCTATGAAGTTCCGGAATTGTAAATTTTTTACCTACGCTATGCACAATGGAGAGAGTTCAGTAATTCTTCAGTTAAAGGATTGAAATCTATTACTATATTCGTCCTGACTGTTGGGACTTACCACATTATCTGTTCACTCATGATAGTAAAGTATTCTAATACATGCCGAAACCTTTCATCATCACCTTTCACTGCACGTCACGTCCTTTCGGAGTGCTTCTTCTTGCGATATCCTCTGTGTTGTAAATTATGTACAGCCAATATTATAACACGAAGCTACTACTGAATCATTTTGGTAGACAGGAAAGAAGAACTTAACTTAAAGAACTATTCCTGAAAAAACTAAAGATGCCATCACTCCGCTTTTACAGTCGCCATACCATCGTGCCAATATTCTTGCTGCTGTTGAGGGACACTCTTTTGCGTTATTGTTTACAAAGAATTCCGCTTTTCCACTTCAAAGCGAAGTATTAGATTTACGTGCTCATGTTCACACTAGCAGGTTTCTGAATGCACTTACCTAGTGATGTTCCAAATTTTTAATCAATTCAAGCTCAAACATATTCTATAAGAATCAGATGAAGACCTTTTTCTTATGCAGAAGTTGATCAATTCTTTGCAGTATAAGGAACCGAAGTCGCGCGTGGTTTTTTCCTTTCTTGTCCGAGTAGTGGTTTGTATTTTTGCTGTTTAACTGGAATATCCAAGAAAGCCCGGGAATAACGAGCGCAGCAGTGACATAGCCTCACTGAGCAGTTTCTTGGAATCATGCATAGTAGTTGCTGGAACCCCTAGAACACAGCAGCAGCTGTTTAGTATGATTTCGAAGCGAAAGGTTAAGTGTTGACAGTCAGATAAACAAAATATTGCACAAAACTGTATGTATTTTATTATAAAAGTGTGTAAGTTACTTACTGCATATGGTATACCACTTTTCAATGAGGACACAAAAACTTGCAAAGACTAAGACATTTGAGAAGGTAACTAGCATAGACAAGTGAGGATATTCATAAACAACAATCATTGCAAAACGAGACGTCACATGACGGCGAGGTAGTGATCAACTGACAAAAAACATACGATAAAAAACGAAAAGGTTCGAGACCCAGTAGGCAATTATCCGAGAGCTTGTGAAAGGAGAAATCAATGACAATCATGGTGGTGATGATGGTGATGGTGGTGGCGCTCGCCGGGTCTGCACAAGATCACATAAAAGGCATGAATCACTCCGGGAATCCACAAAAGGATCGTGAGTAACACATTGATCCAGAATTGATTCGTGCAACCTGCATCCAGAAGCACAGCTAGCGGCTAGAATATGTAAGTAATATATTGAAATGACGGTCAATGTTTTTGTTTGTTTTTTTTTTCTTGTAGAGAATTGCTGGCTGTCACTCAAGCGCTTCTTGCTGTGTCTCCTTTGATATAAAAACCTCAATTTATTTTGATATACAAAATGACCATTCTGCAACTGAACTGAACTCTCTCAGTTGCTCATATCTCGCTACGGGAATCATAGATTTCGTCAGAAAGCTACGCAGGTTTTTTAGATTTTTTTGTCATGTACCCTCTTGCGAAATTGAATAAATCTAATTTTAGCAGGAGAGTGATGCATTGCCCCTCGTTCTTATACGACTAAAATCAAATTAAGTATAACTCCGATCGTTGTTGCGCCAAGGTACAAAACAGCGATTGGGGCGCTCATTTTAAATGCTGACCGTTCGAGTGTCATCCACCCCTTCCATCCTGTAAAGCTTTATGGTATGAATGCAATCTGTTCTCACCTATCTTTGCTAAAAACTATTGCTACTTCACGTTGATCTACAAACTCCCATTTAGTTTACACTGAAACGTAAATTTGCTCCTGACGTCAGAATTCTCGGAGATATCCCATTCTTGCGCCCCTATTCATTTTAGTACTAAATTGACGGCCTCAGGAAGTTCAACAAATCCGTTGGTAGGAAAGCTCCCCTGAACTGTCTAAGGAAATGGTAGCAGGCCTTTCAAGTGACTTCTCAAACTTTGAAATGTCCAGCGCTTCGCTTTTGTATTGCCAAGAAGAAGGCTTGCAGGGACAGATAGCGGAATTAATTATCTTAACCATAAAACGTCTTGGCCTCTTATCTAAAATATATACTGTTTTCTTCATCAGCTGATAAAAGAATCGTATCAACAGATTGAGTTTACGACTGTTCGATGTTTGGTATGTTGGAGGATGGTATCAACCGTGGGGTTTGGATGCGATTGTATCGAAACTTTCGCCTCATCGTGCATAGTTGGTGGGAACCCAGCTTTTCATTTTTCAAGATAATTTGAGATTGATAGACAAATTAAGATAAGAGATTTCCCCATTGATAGTCTACTTTTCTTATCCTATTCTAATCATAGGATTATGGAGGAAACAGATAATATTTTCGCAAAACAAAAAAGCAAGAGAAAAGTTGGAAAGTCATTTCTTTACATTCCATCACACTTTGGACCACCCTGTAAAATTTCTTTCTCTCATGAATCATCTTCTTTCAGGACACATAGGTCAATGATCAAATGTGTTTGTTTCATTGTGCCTTGCCGTTTCGATCAGGGCCCGGCGGGGGTGGCGCTTTCACAAGCTGGATATCGTTTTTGGCCCGAAAAAGCAAAGGGGAAGTCGTATTTTGTACGACTTCCCCTTTGTTTACCGATAAACAATGCACATATCATTCTTTATACATCATTCCTTGTTGATGCTACTGTCCTAAGAACTTACAATTAGATTCCAGCAATGTGAAGATTCTGTGCTCCGATCGCTAGCCTGCCCGCAGGCGGGAATCAAATCGCAATTCTTGTAAGAGGAAAATAACAAAATAGGCTCGTTTTCAATGCACAAGTAACGTTATGGCACCAAATTTGCTGTGTAGCTGGAGGACCATGAGCACAAAAAAGTATGAAAAATTATGAGAAACTTAGGTGAATTAAAAAATGGTAAGTGTTTTTCGAATAGGTGGCTCCCGCGCCACCTGGGAGCCACCTGAGGTGGCTCCCTGCTTCCCTTCACATAACTTCCCGGATTTCTTTACATAAATGTGGACTAGGTCGAGAGTATTACTATATGTTCAAATCCGCTTCCAAAACCACCAAGGCACCGCTTCGATACAGCCCCAAATAGGGTTCACAGCGTTATGATCGGCCTCGCAAAGCGCGCTATAATCGCAATCGGTTATTGTAAATTGTGAAGTTTCGCAGCTGACTAATAAATGAGTAGTATCTTAGATATATAAACGTCAAAGTTTGTGCAAATCTTGACCCTATGTTTTTTTTTATAGATTCCTTTGCGGATGAACCCATTGAGCTGAAACTTTGATGACCCGGGCTGGACCAGGAAAGCCAAGTAGTACTACTATAATAAGCGCTGAGGCCGCCCATCTTATTATTTGTGTATATCTGTTTGTCAGGGACTTACGGGGGTCAAAAATAGGGTCAAAGGGGAAGTCGTAAGAAATTTTGACTTCAAAGGGGATATCGTTTTCAAAATTCTGAGATGCCACCTCCTGCCGGGCCCTGGTTTCGATTCGATGGTACATATGACTAAGGCCCCGGACAGACTTCAGGCGATTTGATCGTCGCGATCTAATCGACGAGATTTCCATACATTTTCATTTTACATTCAAAAATTCTGGGCTGGAAAAGCATCACAACCGAAATGCAAGTTGATCGGCACGAAATGATGTTGTAACAGTTGTCTTGTCGCGATTCAGTCGCGACGATCAAATCGCGTGAAGTCTGCCCGGGGCCTAATGCTATCCTCTCGAATTGCCTTCTACAGTGAGCATTTGATACTGTGATAAACTCTTTAGCAATAAGACCCATTTTCACATCTACTAAAAAGTTTTGTGGTCATAGATTAGCTCCATCATATTAGTGCGATAATAGGCCTATTCAGATAGTCAACTGCGCATCCGTTTTTTGGGAATTATGAAGGAGTACAGGGGAATCTATGTCAAGATCTGAATGCCAATAAAACAATCAACTTACCGGACAGAATACCGCCAGTATGCAGAGTAGTATCGCACAGCACATACCAAATCTAAAATTATTGTAAAATCTCACCGAGCCACAGAACAACGCCATGAAGTTCATCGAAAGCATTGAAATTACTGCTTTTAGTTTCTTAGCTATACATAATCTCTTAAGAAAGAATGGTATGTTTATTAAGGCGTGCTTAAGAGTTGGGTATATAGTTTAGCGTTGTTGCAAAGTCAAAACGACTTTATTACGACCATACTTGCAAAAGCAATGTGTTACTAATTGTAGTAATTCAAGACTTTTCGCTGCTAGACCAAAAGCGGAAGTAAAATCCCTATCGTTTTCCCATGGACTTTCATACCACAACAGCAGTGGTAGGAGAAGAAGGTGGAGCCCCCTCCAACCCCCCTCCCCCCACCACAGAATGAGCGTGAAATTTTCAAAAGAAATTTACATGAGTTATGAAATTGACAAACGACACAATTAATTTCCATAATTATGACTAGTTGGACTAACAAAATTTCTTGTCAACTTGATTAATTATTCGCAAGTAATAACAATTCACCTGTGATATGTGCTGGTTTGATTCAGCATTTTTTTAAAAAATTTTGGGGGTTCGTGGTTGCTAGCCACACCGTCTTTCTAATGTTTAAGTTTTGAGCTCTTATTCTCTACCAGCAGAAAAAAGTTTCTGTAAAAACCGGTGTGACTTAGGTAGAGCAAGGATCTGTCAAGTACTACCATAGCACTCTTTCTACTTTTAAAAGGATATAATCGCGGGCATGCGAGTAATTATGAGCACTCAACTCAGCAATCTTAGCATAACAACACAAAGCATATAGGCATAAAAAGCGCCAAGTGGCAACATTTCCAACAAAGAAAGACCACTCGGCGGAGAACGATAAGATAGCGCGCCTATTTGTATACCTGACTCAGCTATTCAAACGAGCAAGAGTCAAGAGATATCGAGGAAACCCAGTTGGAACGAGTATCCAGTCATTCCGCGAAACGTCATGGAGCAATTCTTGGCAAAGGCCAAAGTTCAAGTCACTGAAATTCAGACTATATTCAAAGCTCGCGCATAAGCATACATAACATAAAATTCTGGAGTCCGGCCACTCACAGCAATAAATTTCACAATGTGGAACGTTTCCAGGACGCAGGACTCCTTGAATGCTGCCAAACTTTTCTTCAAGCTGATTGAGACACGCCAGAATTAAAGGAATTAGAATCCGATTTGTTATCTAAGATCGCAATGACCAATGCTTCCGAAAAGAAGAAATTCAAAATCAGCAATGTTACGGCTTTCTCTGTGTTTTTGTCATTTATTGAATTTGTGTGATGGACATCCTAGTCCACATCTAACTATAATTGTACATATGTATCCAAATTTTGATGAATGAAGAATGGGAAAAAGCTAGGCAAGGAAATCCGTCTGTACGTTTTTAACTGAATCCAGTCCTTTACACAGTTGTAAAACGCATTTCTGTTAAGTTTTTCGATCGATCTCGAAATATATTACCACGAAATTAATTTCATCAGAAACTCCTCACTGCATCCTCCGCCCATATGGCATTGCAATGCAAGCTGGAATACACTAAAGGCTTAAAACATTTATTGGATATGTAAGATTATATATACATTCCCGTAAGATCCCTGTAGAGGTATTGCAACTTCAATCAAGAGCTACGGCCTTCCTTGATTCTTCGTATAACCTTTCACAAGCCGCACTATTACTGCATTTCTCCGGCACGACACTAATTGCGAAATCTCTGAAGAAGAATTTCTGAGCAGGCGGTTAATATGAAACCAAGCTTACTTGAAGTACTCTCCATTGCCTTTATGTGCTTTTTCGCTGAGTGCGAGAAAGATCGGCAGTTGAGCCCCATCTTCGACAGTTTTAAGCACGAACCACATGAGAGGCCTAAAAAAGTAGTGAATATCAAAAAGTCGAAACGCATCGTGTTTTGCATCTGGTTCACCTGAATACTACCCTAACCCACTGATAGCCAGACTCCCTGAGTATATTGGAATCGACTCCTCCTGGATGACAGGCAGTCACGATAACGGGAAGTTTCTTATCCCGGATAATTTTAGCCAAGTGTCTTGTATACATTACCTGAGTAAAAAATGAGATAAACAATCGCTTGGGCGAGACAAAAGTTTTGAATTAAGGCACCTGAGCCATTTTGCTCCTACTGTAAGCCATCATACCTCCATATTTAGACGGATCGTTAACGATGTTCAAGCTGAAAGCAAGCTATAGTAGTCAAAAATGATGTGAAGAGTATTACCTACCGTACACTTACCTAACGCTGTCACCATATTCATACATTATCGAGGACACATTGACAATCCGTCCATCTGATGACCTAGATATCAATGGCAAGAGTAGCTCGGAAAGGAGAAAGTGTCCTGCAAACATGGAGAACATGTCCAAAATGCATCAGATTGAGCAGTAGGTGAGCTTTTAATGGTCAAAAAGTACGAGTTTTCGGACAATAAACAGTAAGCATGGCAGGAAACACTGAGCGAGAGTGTGATTAAAAATTGCACTTCCTTACGTTCTTGTAGTGTGAGAGTGAGCAGATGAACCGCACAGATAATCGAGAGAGAGGGTGCGGGGAGAGGGGGGGGGGGGGAAGTTGTATCGCTTCTATCTTTATATGTAAGTCCTTAACACGTTGACGACGGTGCCGCGCAATGGTGCGCGGCTGCCTTAATCTCAATACTATCTATCCAATACTCTCTCTTTGTTCATATAATCAACATAGGCTCAGATGTACTTCATGTATTAGCCCCGCCCCTTTTTGGCAAACTCCGCCCACTCCTATACCTCTCACAGGGACCCTTTTTGTTCATAAAAAGCATGGATGAGGCCGTGAACGCAAAACCCTCAAACAACTTTTATCGGGCCCCGCCCACCGTCAGGCACACTGCGCTCATTTTTCAAAAGTGGCAGAATTCGTATGGATTCTCAAAATTTGGACAATTTCTAACATTTTTGGCCGAGTGGGCGGAGCTTGCACTTATATTTCGTGCATGGATGCAAGCATACATACATACGGCCAAGCGTAGGGATGCACGGAAACGTCTCATCCACAGGGACAGACCTCAAAAAAAAAATGGCTCGTCGTCAACATGTTAAGCATTTGGCAGATACCAGCACAAATTGACTCATGTAACATGCTTTTTTTTTTGAATGTTGCAAAAATCTCACTTTCACCTTCCCTCCCCTTACATCATTTTTACATGATAAGATCCCATTATTGACTGACCAGTGCGTCACCTCTGCTTCGCAGAGGCTCGCACCGGTTCTACTCTATATGCCTTACTTAGTCTCGCCTAATAATGGCTTTGAAACTCACCGCGGAATGCTGACTATCGCGAATAAAATGTAAACAACTATTCATTCTAATAGCTTTTTTATGTAAGATTGGTGGTTTCGCGTGGATGTAACTTTTCGCAGAAGAACAAATGCAAATTTGAATAGGTTTTGAAACTTTTTTTGGCTTGGTAGTAGCCATGAGGACAATAGTTACCATGAGCTACATCTCTATGCAAAAATCTTCTCAAATGCTCAGGTAAATCCACGGCGGATTGACCATTTACGCGAACATCTTTTTGGCGTCGTTTTCGTAAAGTAGCAAACCTTTGGTCACTTTTTGGTCTAAAGTCCATGACTTACACATCAACCTGCTAAATACATCCACGGCTTTGCAAAAAGCGTTGATACGGACCCAATTTTGCGGGCCAGAAGCCAGGTGGACCCGTTTGGCGCGCAATTTCTGAGGGACCCACCCAGCGAATCCGCTCGTGCTTTTGCATGGTGGAGTTCTACCTTGGTAGCATGTGCTATGCAAAATTTGAGCTCTGGATGTTGGCTGGAACCCGCTGTATGAATTTCGTTACAGACAGACAGACAGACAGGTATGTTTCGTTACAGACACACACACACACACACACACACACACACACACACACACACACACACACACACACACACACACACACACACACACACACACACACACACACACACACACACACACACACACACACACACACACACACACACACACACACACACACACACACACACACACACACACACACACAAAGTCACGTAAACACCCTTAGCCCGTTATTATAAGTTACTAGCTGGTGGCCCCGGTCTCACCCGAGACTTCAAGTTAGTTAAGCCAACAGAACAGAACTTACGCCTCTAAATTTCTTCTAACATGCGCATAAAGCGCTTTCAGACTAATTGCCGCCCCCTACCAACTTTAAGACTGAAATGGACTTTACCGCCCCTGCTTACGTGCTTATATGTAAAAATGATCGGTTGCCATGATGGCCCTTCATTTTCTTAGGTTTGAGTAAACAAATCAATAAATCAATAGAATGGCCTGGCGAATCGCCGCGGAAAGTAGCTCTAAACCACTGTCGGGGTCGAAAATATACGTGTGCGAAGTTTCAGCCGGATCGGTTCAGTGGCGCGCGTTTCTATAACGAACGAACAACTAAACGAACATCCTCACAGACATTGAGTTTTATATATATATATATATATATATATATATATATAGATGATAGTCTCAGTTTTGTGGTATTTTTGAACTTATCAGCTGAAAGTTTTTGCATTTTTTTGCATAAGTGAAAATCTTACCTAAATAGTTACTCTGCCACGTTTTCTCATATCCATCGCCAGTCTTTGTAAAAGTCGGCACACAAAGGACACCCGCATTGCAGATAAGAACGTCCAGCCGTGGTACCTCTAGAATTTGACACTGAGTTGGAGGTAAAAAGGAGAACTTTCATATTTGGCGAGAACATTCTTTCAAATATATTCCAGCTAGCGATTGCCCTGAGCAGACATCGTGTAAGCGACTTGTTTTATGGCTGATGAAAATGTGTATGACTCAAATTGAATTATTTCAAATTCCAATCAATTTGATAATCAAGATTTGATTCAACAAGTTGTAAGAATCATACAATGAGGCAGAAAGTTGAAAATTGATCTACATGAACTCATCAACAATCGGACTATTTGTCAGTTGCAGTCAAGTTTAACAACGACTTTGGTTTTTTCTCAGGTACGATTGTAATCTTTCTTTGATATTAGGTATCTCATAATTTTTACTTTTGATTTCTCTTGCAATATTTCATACTCTTCTTACTTTTCAAACAGGTCTTGCGGTAGCATTCCGCACACCAAAGCAAGCTCTACAAGGCCTTACCTTAATATTTGCTCAAAGCAGTGGCCCCCCCCCCCCGAGCACAGGTCGCGAAATTTTTGAAAGTTACTTACATGGGTTATAAAATTGTGCAAATGACTTTTCTGTACTTGAATAATCAAAATTATTTTTAAAATTTCTACTCATTTTAGCCTCATAAAAAAAATTTTCGGAGTACGTGGCTGACGCCACGCACCTTTATCGGGGAAAACTTTCTGTCGACCCCCCCCCCCCCCGAGCCGAAATCCTGGGTACGTCACTCAAATTTTTTCACTTAAAGTTCGAAGCCGAAATCCGAGAATGTCGAGCTTCTTACTAGTTTTTGTATATACTCTCCACATCTCGTATTCAGCTGTTCTTTTGCTTATTTTATCCATGGCTAGAACTTGAGAAATATACATATAGGCTGCTGCACGACGAAGGCGACTATGTTTCGGCGCGAACGGAGGCATTATTAGCCTCACCTCGCATGAAGCGCAGGATCTACAACGATGAAGATGCGCGCGCGCCGCTTTCGCGCCCGGTCAGCTAATACCGCTTCTGCACCTTCGCCATGCAGTAGCCTTTACACCAAACTAGGCCAAAAATACAAAAATTTGCCTTTTTTCGGGGTTGTTCGGGCTAAATTTCGATTTTCTCAAAACTATTGCCTGTAAGAGGCCAAGAATTATGTTATACTTCTAAAGGTTCATACTATAAATTTACCTTGGTGCCGCTTTGGCAAAAACACAAATTATTTTTTCTCTTTATTTCTAGCCATGGAAATTCGAGCATATGTGTATTTGAAAGGTCGGATATAGATAGTATGTACAAAACTCGCAAATAGTGATGAGCCAGGTTTTTGAGCTTCATCAGGCTAATTTTGACATGCTTAGCTGTGTAACACTTTCTCGGACTAGCACACCCTTTCTAAGAAAGTTGAAGCCAGAACCGAGCCCCAGCTCAGCTCTTCAAACTCGTGGCAAAATAGAAAGGCGGTCGTGGTATTTGCAGCATGAGTCAGTTACCAGGTTGATCAGCTGCACTGGTCTCGAAATCTATCATAGCACTTTCTGCCACAAATAGAAAAGTTGACGCTGTCTGTGTAAGAAAGAAACGTAAGACAAGAAGAAAAAAGATCTTGAGTCTATGGCACAAAAGAATTCATTGCATGAAGACATGAGTTTGAAGTATATACTTGGTGTAACAGATTAAAAAATGAAGACAGACCAGGAAGATTGAACGGCATGATAATTTGTCAAATGCGCATCTCCGCTGCTTTTTTTCAACAAACTTACCTTCGCTAAAAGTTTTTGCAAAGTTCCTTACGGAGTCCAATTTCGTCAAATCCACGTATCGTAAGATTAGGCGGTCTGGATCACAGTTTGCCTGGAAATGTGACATAAAGAGAATGTCTCTAGCTTTTCAGATGGGAGAAAATGCAAATGTACGCATCAAATTATGGACTGTTTTACAGTGTACATACGTTATTTAAAAGACGATATTTGCGTTATTATATCAAATTCGTTTGTCCTACAAAAAAGTAACGCTAAGCACATAATAGGGCCTTGAAGGCAGCGGCTCGCCAAAACCGAACATCCCGAAATTTTGACATGAAAGGTTGCTTGCACCCCTAACATGAGAACAGAGCGGATCCGAGCGCACAATGCTGCCTTTGCCAAGAAAACCCCGTTACGCGCAAGCCATTCTAATGGGCGGGACGAGCTTGCGATTCTCCCTGACCCATCAGAGAAAGCATGCCCCAATGTTATAACTGCGAGGGTCCGCAATGATTCTACCTCTCTAACCATGGCGGGACGTGGTCCACTCGTCCAAATTCAAGATGGGAGGCCTTGGGAAGTGGTGGTCGCCATTTTCGCGCTCTTCAAGGTGGATTTTCGGAATCAGCGCCTCGATTAACCCCAGGTAAGCAAAAAAACTCCAAGTCGAGAATCTGTCAAGCCGCTGCCTTTAAGCACTCGTTACAAATAGCTACAAACATTGTTTAAATACGGATGATACAAAAAATTTCAAAACGGTAAATCAATCTTGTCAGTGACAAAAAGTTCCCTGTGGATTTTGCGTCATATAAAAACGAAGTCATTTGATCATGAGAGTCATTCTAACCAGTTTCGTACCATAGTGCGGTCAACATTCAACTTTTTATTCTTCTTCTCCGCCTTTCTACCAGAAATGTTGGCCAACCTTTTTGAGCCGTTCGATCGAATCTCTGCCCCGTTGCAAGTCTCGTACTAACATATAGACCGTTCCTCCTCTTCGATTTAGTTCTGCTGTTACTGCCTGCCCTAAAACCATTCGAATCTTTTGTTGTGTTAATACAGTTTTGTTTTAGCTCTCTAAGCCTTTTGAAGTGGCTATTTCGAATTATCAAAATGAACTCATAGCCTGACGTGACTAACAAAACTTTTCTTAGTTCGAAAAAAAATTCTAGCGCCCCCTTTTTGCCTACTGCACGTTAGTTGCCCATATCAATGTGAAAAAGTGATTAAGATGAACTTTGATCCAAACGAACCGATGCCTGAGTTTGCACCCGTAATCGCAATAATCTTTCCATCCGCTCGTATATTCTCCACAAAACGCTGTCCTCTGATGTACTTTCTAAACCAGAAATGTCACTGTCAATTCTCTACCAAACAAAAAAGATCATTCTATTAGCACCTGCAATAAAATAAAGACACACCAACTATAAGTGCAAACGTCGCATAATAAAGTCCATTGTCTTGAGTGCACATCAAATACGAAGTGGCCACAGATGTCCTAGTTGTCCTTCAATAAAAAAAGGTTTTGTGAGGTTTACGGAAATTTAGCAGTACTTCTTCTTCGGTGAGCGCTTGATAAACAAAAATCGACGAGATATATGCTTTTCAAAATTCAAGGTTGGGAACACAAGATATTTGAGCGAGAACATAAAAGTAGCAAAAGTTGCTACCAGTCCACAGCACAGAAATACGAATAGTGAATTGCTGCATTGTTATCATATCTAATAGCTGATACGGTTCGAAAAACTTTTTTGCTGCTGACAGAGATTGAAAGAAAGAATGTCAAGAGAATGCAGTCAATCATCCCGGTTTTTGCAAGTTTGAAAAAGAAACCAAAAACATGTATCTACATCTGATATGAGTTGATTGCGTACTACTTTCTAGTTTCTCCTTCCTAGTTTCGCTTCTTTGAGCGAACGAGACATTACGCGGAAAAAATCTAAAAAATCTTGGGAGCATTTGTTGAATGTTTTGTTCATGCTTTATCAAATGAATATCTTTATACTGCAGTTCAATGATGAACGGTCAAAAATAATGCCCAAAATCCGCGGCCCATGGTTTCTACCCTGGTCGTTCCGCAATTTTTCTGAATTTTTGTACTGGATCTACGAAGAAGTACCGAGTACTGATAAATAGGGCAAACCCTACAAGAAAAAATAATTTTTTCCTCTTCCACAGCCTACCCCAAAATTTTCAAAACTATTTTATTTTTTTGATGCTATAAATTGCATAAATGTTCAACTTAAACCTCATAGAATATCAATTACTACCTCGAATGCTAATCGATGCTCTCTTCTCGTTCAAGAAATGTTTTTTGTTCCTGGTTTGCAAAGTCTGGGAGAAAATCAACAAAATCCATGTTTTTCAAGGAGCTCTGTGCTGTACCGGGAAAATGAAAGATTTGATATTTCGCAGTCCTCAGCGCTCATTTGTTTTGTAAAATTGCTGCTGAATTAAAACTCATATTTGAAAGCATCAAAAATCTAGACTCCATTTATTTGACAATTCTGCGTCTGTACCGGTCTGCCAAAATTAGGTGGTGTTGTTGAAAATCTTTCAAAATTATGGCCAGTTATGGTCGGAAAACGAAATTATTTTTCATTCTATAAGGTTTACTCCATTTGTCTCCGTTACTTGGACTTCTTCGGGGAATCAGTGAAATTGGAAAAATAGGGAAACTTGACCTTTGTGAAAACAATAGTTCGTGGTTTTTTGTAATTTTCTGAGATCTCTTCTGTTGAACTGCAATATGAAACAAACATTTAAAAGAGTATGGAAAACTGCATCGAGTGCCCAGATCCTTATGAACCTTTGTTCGCGGTTGGCGTTTGTTCGAAGAAAGGGGAACTACTTCCACAACTACCAAATATGTAGTCCTAAACGCTCAAGAAATCAAAAATTTCAAAAAAAAAATCAAAAAAATCTCCATAAAAAATCCTACATACTCAAATTGCTCATACTTTCCACACCACAAATTCATATGGTACTCGCTTTTTTTCCTATACAGGGATCGAGAAAAAACGGTATGCAAGATTCGGTTCTAAAACAGCCTCATGCCTTTAGTCAAGGCAAGAGGCTGTTTTAGAACCTGTAACCTTCCTAACCTTTTGCAAGGACTACTTTTCGAGAAACACCACGTTTAGCACAAAAAGAGGAGAGAGGAAACTACTTTTGGCCTATTTTGTTTCTCAATTCCTGGCTATCAAAAAAAAATGGCAGCCGTATTTATGAAGTCCTAATACAGAGTGTGTGCGCTGCAAATTAGAAATTTCCCGAATTTTTTAGATGGGTATGCTAATTCGTACAATCTTCATAAATCTAGATTGTTATTTTGATCCTGACAAACCTTTCGCGTAAATTTTCTATGCCACCTTGCAAAGCTCACTTTGCTCTATGATTGAGGCAAAGTGTGCAGAAAACAGAAACAAAAATGAATTCTGTGGTGAAAAATCTAAAACGAGGGAAAAATAAGCGATAACCTAATAATAAATTGAGATAAAAGTACGAATCTAGTACACGAATGAGCAGTACATGCATGAAGATATCCTGGGTCAAGCAGCATTTCCCATTAGGTCTGAGCTACGAAAAGTAATCTTCGTAACCGCTATAGCTGGACAGCAGAATTTTGTATGATGTCACAGATTTAATTTTCAAATGACACCACAAAATTCTACAAGCTCTTTCCAACATTACGAAAGTAAAGAACATGGCAGCAGCTGCTCCTGAGCGCGGAATGGATACTGCAGGGATCGATATGAGCGCTGAATGAAGTGCAGCAGAGAGAATTACTCCATAATCACTTCCTGAAGAATACTTTACGACCTGGAAGTGCTGCTGGTAGTCGCAGATAACGAGCACATAACTTGCTGGAGCTATTGTTATTTTCACCCCGTTTATTGCTGGAATATATTGAAAAAAAAAACTCGGAAATAACAAAGGGGAGCTTATGCAGATGAAAGTCGTTACTGATACTATTCATAAACTTCGTATTGCAATAGGAAGAACATCATAGTCAGAACAGCAGAGAAGCTTATGGTTTCCATTTTAGCCGCACCTTGTTCGTGCTTTTTTATATCTATTGTTACAGCTTTCACGTGAACAATGATATCAATTGATTAAACAAAAATTTCCGCACGTGCTTTTCTACATGTTCTGTGTTACTTTATTTTATCACTCATCGCAACGGTAGCTAATTTTAAGTGCTCTGATTTCATAAGGTCGGTCTCATTCATTTAATTTATGGTTCAACCTGTTTTTTATTCTCAAGTGTAATAATTCTCTACTGAACAAGAAGGAGTAAGGTACCGATAATTATAGCCAAACTACAGCAGTTATATCCATTTGTTATGTATAAAGTTGGAATGAAGCTTCGTTTTCACCATTTTCAAAAAAATTGTAACTTGTTTCTCTTACGATAATCTTGCACGAAAAAAAACAATATTAGGAAGGCGATGCAATGCGTAAATTTTCTAGGAACATTTTGCTTGTTCTTTATAAGGTTTGCAGAGATAAAAATTTTGAGGCAAGCCCGTTGAAGCTTCCAAAACTCTGCCATAAAATCCGCAACAGGCAGTATCCTAGATAGTTAGACCCCCTCTTTCTACCGGAGCAAAGTTCACGCAAAATAAGCTGTTTTTTAAAAAAAAAATAGTTTTCGAAAAAAATTCAAAAATCAATTTTCGTAAGGATCTGATTTTTTGGCATTTTTTTTCGAAAATCATAACTTTTCTAAGGAAAGCTCGATCAGCGCGAATTTCGCTCAGCTAGAAAGAGAGGGTCAGAAAACCTAGGTTACTGGCTGTTGGATTTTATGGCACAATTTTGGAATTTTTTACGGGCTTGTCTCAAAATTCTGAAATTGAAGTGGTTTCCCTTTCCTAATTTCATCTCTGCAGCCAGATTAGCAGAGAACAATCACGGTGCCGTTAGGAATTATACGCTTCGATGTTCCTAATAATATTCTAGTCTTGCAAGGAATATCGTAGGAGAAAAAAAAATAAGATTTTTTGAAAATAGTACGAACGAACTTTCGTCAACCTAATGTGATCCCATGACAGCCCATGCAAGTGGAGATTATTACATAAATTTTCTGAGCACTGATCAGACTTGAGCTGGCATTATGTTTGTTATGTTTTGATCCTGTTCATGTCTACCAGTTCTAATGGGGAACTCAAGGGTATCAAATGAAGATGAATGATGTGAACGCCATCGCTACAAGGCAATGATCTCCAAAGATTTCTAGCATTGTAAACAAATCCAGATTAATATAGAATAGTATAATAATACCAATTGCGTCAGTAAGAGCGGCATGCGCAAAATATTTGTGAGATATAAGCAGGCTGAAAGCGAGTTGAGGAGATAAAAGCTTGAGAAAATGAAAGCTAGAAATTGGGGCGCCATTCGATGAAGATATATCTGAATGATACTGATATGAAATTTTTTTCTCATATTTTGTGTTAAAAAGTTTCTTCTCTTAGGCGAAGATTGAGGAATTCTAGAGAAGGCGAGGGTGCTTGCGCTTGATTCATAGGAATAAACATCTTCCCCTTTTTCTTCTCCTCCACTTCTCTCTCATCCTCTCTCCCTCTCTCTGTCACTCCTATCATCTCCCCTAGCTCTCTCCTTCCACTTGCACAATAGTGGTTCTCACAAAAGAAAGTGGCGGATATCACACGCTTATTACCAGAGTACTACTGCGTATCAAGCCACTTCACCTTTGCACAATATTGTTTATTGACCCATTTATTCTAGCAAACACGATTACGTTATATTTTTCCACAAAAGAAGAACACTTGTATGAGATGTTAGAACTATTTATAGTCAATCATGTTTTTGATTACTTATACATACAAATTAAATGCCATTCTTAATACCAAGTCAGCTTCGAATCGCATTTGGGATTTTGACTTCAAAAATATGAAGAACCTGGAAATTTTTCGGAAGAAAGCAATAAGGTTCATTTCCACAAAAATAATAGGCGACGCAAATCTGCTTCACGTTTAGAGACTTCTGACAGCCCAGGCGCTATATGATAAAAATCACATCATCGATGATTACACTGAAGTCATCTTTGCTCGAATCAGACTAACAGACCAGCGCTTTACAAGAGTGCAAAAATTCGCAACAGTGGTACAAAGAAGAATTTTCATGTTTTTTCGTAAGGTGAGCAGATAAATCAGCATGAAAAATTGTTTGAGCCTAAGATTTTCAGTTTATTGTCTTGCGTCCATCACTCTTTATTTACCAAGATCAGATTCACAGCAATGGGATTGATCAAGCAGAAAACATGGTGGAAACTCGCAGAGGTTTATTTAGGGAGAGGAAACGGATAACTTAGGATCGAGAGGATTATAGCGAGGAACGGAATAAGTTCAGATAGACCGCGGGTTTCACAAAAATATGTTATCTTTAAAAAATTACATGCTCTATTTTGAGACGCCATCGTTCTTCTATATTTTCCGTACACAATTTTGAGGGCAAAACGTGTACATGTCGAGCTTCGTTCAGAAGCCAAGACTAAAAAAAAATCAAACAATATCTGCTAACAAGATAATCAGGGTTGACAAATATCTATTTTTGAACTCTGCATTGGTATAAAAAATCACGCTCTTGACTGTATTCAACAAAAAAAGAGAAGTACGTGACAAGA